GGGTTTAGGGTTTCGGGTTTGTGGGCTTCGCCTAGCGAGTTGCGGGGACGGATCTCTCTAGGTCTTAGGATGTCGGGCCCTTGGAAATTAAGAGGAAGTGTAAAGCTGGGTTCTTTTCTAAGGGTTTAGGGTTGAAGGGGCTTTAACTTAGGGCTTAGGGTTTGGGGTTTAAGGTTATTAATTTAAGTGACCAAAATGGGGGTCTATAGTATGCAGGTTACAATTAGTCGGGATCTATAGTAAATATTAGGGTGTGCCTCATGATGCTAACTTAAAGTTGGTTCCGTAGCAAGAGTTCTGAGAAGCCTTTGCTTTCAGCGCTAGGATGCAGACCCCTCGACGCGGCCCACTCAGCCGTCGGAGTTCGATCAGGATTTTCCAGATTTGGAGACCCGGGTGGGTTGACCGAAACCCTGAACTGCAATTTGGTTCAAGTTAGCATATTAGGGATCCAAGTACACCGCATGCCTCCTTATGGCCAAACTCCCTAAACCCCAAGCCCCTAACGCGAATTCTGCTCCTTTCCTGTCTTTGCCTTGTTTCTGGCACTTGGACTGTGGCCTTTGAAGGTCCTTTTATGAGTTAGCATCCGGGGTTTGGGGATCTAAATTGGGCCTCCGGATTTAGAGGTTCTGGATTGGGGCTTAAGGCCTAAAGCCTAAACCCTAAACCCTGGACCCTAAGTTACAAATCCCTTAAACCCTAAGCCCTAAGATGATTAGACAAACCTTAAGATGATTAGACAAACCCTAAGCCCTCAACCCTGAACCCCAAACCCTCAGCCCTCTTAAGGTTGTTCACCCCGAAGGGTCCGAAATTTCAGACTAGGTCTATTTCTTTCCTCGGGGGTTTGGGGTTTGAGGCTTTTAGGCTTTACGCAGGCCCCTGGAGAGCCTGCATGTCTTAGGGTTCTTCGTTTCGATGTCCTCCTACAAGTCCTTGAAGACGCAGGTTCTTTGGGGTTCAGGTAGAGCTCAGAAGGGCATCCAGTGCTTAAGGGAGCAGGAACCGGCAGGAACCCCAAACCCGACACTCTACGCCCTAAAAAACCGGGGCAGCCCTAAACCCCACGCCCCGCCCAAAACCCCGCAGATTGTCCCACTATTAAGGCCCATATATATATATATACACACACACACACATCTACTTGAAGATAGATCCGGTACGCTTCACTTCTTTTCGGCTTCCCCTTCCGTTGCTTAGTTTTTTTCTACATGTTTCAGTTCGAAGCCCACCGACTTTGACCTGTTTAAAGCGGCGTTAGTATGTGAACCCTCGACTCCAAAGCGACATCGGACCAGTGCTAAGGACTCGGCAGGACTGCTTCTGCCGGCTGCATGGGTTTGGATTTGGGACGATGCTAGTTGTTGTTTTGGCGCGTGTAAAGCAATTGCCTATATTGATACTTAAGGCTAACTTCACCGGACCTCCTATTCGCGTAGGTATGGCTGTCATCCTCCTGGTCCTCCTCCGTCATTCCCATCCTGCCTCTACTTCGCCTGCTCCTCCTCCGCCTCATTATCATCCTGTCCCTCATTCTCATCATTCTCCTCGACCACCTTCAGCAAGAGCATGACCATCATGAATCCCTAAACCCTAAACCCTAAACCAAAACCCATGGAAATTGAACATGCTCACAACTATTACCCTCGTCGTCGTCGCCATCGTCGCCGGAGCCCCAGGCCCGAACCCCCTTAAACCCTACTTAGGGTTTAGGGTATTTGGGTTTAGGGTTTAGAGTTTAGGGTTTAGGGTTTAGGGTATTAGGGTTTAGGGTATTTGGGTTTTGGGTTTAGGGTTTAGGGCCAAAGCCCAAGCCTCAGGCCTCGAAGATTTTGCTTTTCGCGACACTCAGACTCCGCAGTGCCAACAAGTCTCGCTTAACTTGTAGAAGGGACCGTCGCACGGTCGATGATATACATCTTGCATTACCCACAAAAAGAGGAAACCATAAATCCATAGTTCAGGGTCCTTAAGGTAACGCAGGATTTATATCTTAACCCTAAACCCCTAAACCCTAAACCCCTAGCCCTAAACAGTATTTCTCAATTGGGGCGGGGTTTTGGATTCTTTGGGTTCTCCTTTGCCCACACCTCGAGAGTAAGAAGATCCCAGCTGACAGAGCCTCATGACCGCTATTTAGTAGGGTTTAGGGTTAAGGGGTTTAGGCCCGAAATCGTACATGAGAGCCAGAGCCCTTATTGGGGATCCCGGGCCGAAGGTTTAGGGTTAGGCCCAAAATGAATGGTACACACTGCTATCAAAGCTGGGGACACTGAAACTTGAACCTAGCCTAAACATGAAAGTTTGAACCTGAAGCCTAAACCCTAAAGCCCAGGGCCCTTATAAAGCCCTTCATAGAACCGATATAGAACTCTGCTAGAGCATTTATTAGAACACCCTTGGCGGAACCTTATAAGCTCTGAGACACTTGGAGGTTCATGGGTAGTTAAAAGTGGGGTTATAGGGCCCCTAAACCCTACACCCTAAACCCTACGCCCTAATACCCTTAATTTGGGTTATAAGTACAATTGCCCTAGTTAGAACCCCACTTATAACTACCTCTGAACACTCCAAGGAGTCCCTAAACCCTGCACCCTAAGCCAGATTCTAATGATGAAGGTCCCGGTTTAGGGTTCAGGGTTTAGGGTTACATTATAGAGCCCTAATACGGCTGATGATACAAATCCTGCATTACCCATAGTAAGGAATATACCAGAATTCCCATAGTTTGTGGTCCTTAAGGTACTGCAAACTTTTATGTCATCAACAGTAGTAACCCTTTAAAGGAACCTCCAAGCAGGACATGGTCGACCAGGCACTGTCGAAGGCCCTCGGTGGTGCTCGCTGAGCCTGCGTTCGCGTAGCAGCGGGGGATCTGATGATCTGGTTGCGTCGTTAAGGTTTATTTTAAGGGTCTTATGGGGTAGGGTTCAGGGGTTTCTTTAGAGGGCTTTAATTTTGAGGTCCATTGTAAGGGCTATTACAAGGGTTCTATGGGGTTATATAGTGTTTTGATCATGATGCAACTTATAATGGCTCTGAGGGTTTTTACAGGGTTTTGATTATGATTGTAAGGGCTCTCATACGGTTCTATGAGGCTTATATAGGTTTTTTGATAATTAAGGTTTAGTTGAAGGTTTGGGGGGTTCATGGAAGGTTAGAAGGATGTGTTGGCGAATATTCATTGGTGTTTACTCTTGGCTGTACCTATAGCTACCTTTTAAGTGCCTTGCCTGTAGAAGTTCCTGTAGAAGTTCAAGCCGTAAGCTCCGTTCTTGTGTGACGGCTTGGGCTTGATACTCCGAATGCCAACCCCCTCAGCCCTAAACATTGATGCGGAGGGAGTCGCCATCCTAAAATATCAGCAGCAGAACAGCAGAATGCGCGGTAACTGGCGCTACA